TATGTCACTTAGTATAGCTTAATAGTTTTGCAAATTACCGATCGGCTTAAATTCAGCTGTTTGGCTATGGTTGCTTGTTTAATGCCTGATCGATAGTTTAAAATAATCGATTCTTTTATTTGCAAATTCAATGTAATTTCTCTGGCCATGTCTTTGAACTACACTTTATCAAATACACTAAAAAATAACACCTAATCCAATCAACGACTAAATATAAACTAAATATTTACAAAATGTTTCTGTACTTTTACTCGTTGAACAAAAAACCGACCATATTATATTGAAAAAAAAAGAATGTATGCAAAGATAAGAATTTCATTATATTCAGGTAGTCATACATAAAAAACTATAGTGTAAAGTTTTGGGTTAGAATAAATCTTTCTGGATTTTTTTTTGTAATGTGGTTTGTTTCTCTACTTTTGCTCGGTACTGTATGTTTTTACGTCTCCATAAGACATTAATGATGAACGACTTATGATATCTTATCATCAGCTCCTTCCACCAGTCTCTCTATTTTCCATTTTGTCACTGAGCTGCATCAGCTAGCGTTGCAACGATTTTAATGGAAAAGGAGTGGTGCCGTAAATCAGCATTATCTACTATATCTCATTTTTCATTAAAATCGCTATAACGGTTACTAAACCTGCAGAGTGATACAATATCCAATAGACAGACTATGCGAGTGAGTGAGTTGATCTTCATAATGGAAGCATCAATTATTAAAAAATACTACATTTTTCCATATTTTCAGGCAGTAAAAGATAAATTCACTAAAAATTGTATTCTCCATCATAGATAATGATTACGTTTTTATGATTATAATTGGGTTATCTTCACGTGAAGTAATGCATGCGGATTACGTGGACAATGTAAATAGCATATGAAGTAATCGCGTGACTGTTTTGACACGAATTATCAACTATTCTTCCTATCACTGCACGGTGTCAAAAAAAGGAAAAGACTTATTTGTAGCAAATTTCGTTTTCTACAGTGGTGTTTTTCTCTGTTGGATTCGTAGTTTAATCATTATAAGCCGAAATACCATTACATGTACAGGGTACCCTCTCGTAATCTGTCGACTACACGACAATTCTTTATAGAAACAGAATGATAAATAATTCATTTCCCTACTAAACTGTTTCTATTCCTTATTTTCGTAGGATCGATGGTTTTCGAGATTTTCGATCAAACGCGTTTATCCACATGGCAGCGAATGCCCTGTCATCAAGTAAACCTTTTTTGGGAACACACTCTAATTTAAATAGCGCTCCCAGCGATTTACTTAGCAATGAGTCGTCAAATAGTTGAACAAAAGCATAAAACTGAAGGTAATTACGAGTCGGTTATCAAAATGTATAGGTATATTTCCAAAATGATGGAGTCGATGGAGTCAGTAGCATATCCAATAAAACAAGAAGGTTTTCCTCATGCTACAATGGATATAAAAGGATGGGACGATGAGATGATTTTGATGCCAATATATCCAAACCTAAATCAAGCTACGACAATGTAGATATGTGCATAGTTCTCAACATACTACAGGTATTGCATATTGTATTTGGTACATTAATTAATGAGATAGAGTATTAGAGAAAGAATGTGTTTCAAACCATATGTAGGGATCTGCCAATCATCACAGATTTAACTCATTTTTATCTCTTTCATAGGACAAAAACGTGCTTAAATGAAAATGGACGCATTTGTTCATAGTATAAAGCCTGTACTCACATTAAATGTTATAGTTCGTTTCCGATTGACGTATGTTGAATTTATAAGTACTATAAAATGCATAAAGCCCGAACTCCCTTTCCGTTTTGCATATGCACAAAAGCCGAAAGGCAAATTTTTTTCACGTAAAAAACAACACGGACATCATCGGAGTTTTGAAAGCATGATAATATTTGTGTTTGGCGTTTCGTATCAAAACAACAGATCGATATGAAAAATACTGAGTTGGCGTCGCTTATCCTGACATTCGTACAACAAATGTTTATTTAAACAAATGCAGGTAAATTGGAAAATGACTAAACGGGATGAACAAGCTACGTCATGTTTGAGTTAACAGTCAAATTTACAACAAAGGGCAGCCACGCGTTTTTTGTTGTTTTGCTTCCAAACAGTGTGAATGTATTTTAACCGACAAAAAAATACAGTTTAGAAGGAAAATATCTGTTTCGGCTTTTACTAACGAGAGGGATATATCTCGTTGTTTGGAAATTCTCTGAATTTTCCTACTAAATAGTGTTAATCAATTGGTAACTTTTTCGAATTCTACTAATCAAACAACTAGTCATTGTAAATCATTGAGCTCGAGATCTTCATTATCAGACATTCACTCAAAGAATAATAACAAGCCTTCGAGTTATGTTCCTATGCATATAATATAACGTGGAGCATGGAACACATTGTCTGTGTAAAAAATGCTTTCCAAAAGCTCAACCAGAAACATGCATCAAGCGAAGCTTAAAATTTGTGCAGCATGTAAAATGTATCTGGCATGTGGCTGAAGATACTGTTACGGACGCCTCTTCTCGATTGTTTTTGCCGCTAGCATTTTGTTTTAAAATGCTGCTTGAAACCGGAATGCATGTTTTTGTCGTTTCCCCTCTATCCTTATTTGTTTAGATATATTATCGGCGTAATTTCTTTCGATAGTAGATTCAAAGGGAAGCTTCGGTGGACAGTTACAGCACTTTCTTTGCTTCAAAAAAATATCACCTGCTGCTTATGAATTGACTTTAAGCCGTTTTAAAAAATATATTTGAATATTCTTTAAGAGGAGCAGGAGCTTTAAAAACGTCGAAATGCAATGTACGCATAGCTCTTGAAATAAACATAAATTGGAGGTTTCTGTTGCTTTATATTCTTATAATTATTATGAGACTGGATATCTCTTTGTGGCAATGTGCTACCGTAAGTCTCTTTCAGGTGAATTCCGAGAGGATCTGGTATATAGACAATAAATGTCGCAAATAGATACTCTGAAACAGATTATGGATACATTTCACCATATCACTTGACATTCTCCAAAACTGGACACGTTTATAGCCTGAATCTATCTTTGAGGGGCTTAAGAAGAAAAATGGCGAGCATTATATGACTTCCTAACTTCTATAGCCCTATCTAAAAGCGATGTCCTTCGATTACGTCCCGATAACACGGCAAATAACGTGTGTGACAGACCAATAAAACAACAGATGGGAGATGGCAATGCCATTGCATTGGATATCTAGATGTATAGAAAACAACGTACCGGATGAGCTGCGTGACCGGCATTATTAACATTTTTCTCTTTATAAGCCAGGAGACAAAGGCCTGAAAGCCTGCGGTCATGAACAAATAATTTAATCCTCAAGACGTCAATGCGATGTAATAACATTTATAGACAACTGCAATTTAATAATTATAATCGGTATCAACGAATTCGAATAGGTTAGGAGGATCTATTGTCTGTCGTCAAAATTGTGTAGTTTAGACAGCAGCGGTGACATAGTGGTAGGCATTATGACTCTACTACGTAGCTGGTAAACAACGGTGTCTGATTGTCTCACGTGGAGATACCACCCGGAAAATCTCTTAGGTTTGTAGTATGAACTTTCATCCTGACTACAGGCTATGAGATTTTGCAGACAAACAATTCATAGACTTGCTCCTTCTACCTAGTCTGAATTCGTTGATTGGAACAGTCAACTTATGTTCTGTTACGTGGCAAAAACAGATAACCGAGAAAAGTTTCAAAACGCCTGTTACAAGACATTCAGATCATAACTTCTATCCTTTGAGGTCCAAGGTGTCTAATTTTAGCGATTTTGTTGTAGAGCTTACCATGATTACTCTAAATGTATGTTACTTATGAAGAGCACCGTCGCTCGCAAAACCGTTGATAGAATTTATCGTGTCGTAAATAAGGTCTACATAACAGACACAATGTTCGAGCTGACATACATTTCTCTGGAGGTCCCACTTTTAGTAAGAGATAAAAAGGATGTTTTATCACTTACGACGAATACATCATTACATAAATTATTATCATATTACCGACAATATCCATTCCTCCATCAAATATTTTTTATTTATATTGTAGCCCGTGTCTATTGCACCTGATACACTACAACTTCCTTGTTAAATAGAAAGCTGCAATTTAACTTGTTTGCTCAAAACCAATCACACGTGGTACTCCTTTGTCAGTACAACGGAGGCTTTGGATGATGATGAGCATGATAAAACCTTTCAAAATTTTAACACCATCGGCTAATGTAATGAATAAGCAGCCATTTTTGTCAATACTTTCCATGAGGGTAAACCAGTTAGAAGATGGAGACCGGAGATCAGCCGTCGAACAGCCAAAATACAGCTACGGGGACAACTATGGTCAGTTAAAAATACAGCATCACCTGCTACCATCTTGGAAACCGGAAACTTTATATGATTTTAAGACTGTTGGTCTTAGCTGATAAATTATAAATAGCAAGGTTGTAGATGGATGAATTATATACTGTTTTTTTAATCCTAATATTTTGATAAATTTTCCGATATATAACAACTTATCAAGCGTGGATCCAACATTACGTCTTGGAAGGGGGGGTTAGCCGTTTACGCTCAGATGAAATCACCCAACTTCGTTCTCATTTTCCCTCTTCCCTCTTCTTCTTCCCCCTTTCTTCATTTTTTCCTGCAAGCGAGGGGGATTAATGACACCGTTGCGTCTCCCCCGCGTTGGTAACTCATATGTCAATACTACAGATGTTACAAATATACGAATTTTTTCAATGAGAAATTTAATTTTGATTACCAAATGAATATATTTAACATTTTATTTTTTAGATGCCGTATTGACATACGTTTTTGTAATTATATATGATTCAAATGCTATCACATTCCTTCTTCTAGATGCAAAAATTACGTACAACTCGGGCCTGTTGTATTTTATTCTTGGTATATATAAAAACATCATCAAAAGAAGGCTTTGACTTTATAAGCGAATACTTCCTCAAAAAAATATGAGTTATTATGGAATTCTTGTACTAGCTTATAATGGTCCGATCTATGTAATCATTCTAAGAGGTATGCACGTTTCCTTGTTGCGGCGCAGGCACCGGCACCTACTTGTGCGATGTTGTTAGATCTATTCATTAATTGACAGCCAAGGACATCTAAAATAACAGCTGAGGACAGCCACAAGCATCCACGGACAGCCACGGACATCCATGGATAGCCACGGACACCCAACTACTTGTACAACGGACAGCCAATGGGTTTAACCCTCGGCGCACACTAACCCAATTCTTGGCATGAAACAATTTATAAGAAATCATCCAAAACTTATATTACACGTTCTTTCCCTTCTCATTTTAGCAGCCGTGGAACAGAACCTTCCACTTGCACAGCATTCAATGCCTATTCACAACAGATTAATGCCATTCGCATAGGCGCCACAGCAACAAGCTCTGGGTTAAAGGCTGCAAACGCACTCAACATTTCGTTGACGTTACGAGACTCAATACTGGAGAATGTTTGGGGTACGTCGGATGGTATCACGTTAGTAGCTATCAGCTAGGACATATGAGGCTGCATCGCGTTAGGCTATTTCATCATAATTATATATATAACTTAGTTTGGGTTAAAGCCAAATTTGGATACCTTTGGGGGCAATTTTCATATGTAGTTTCGCTTATAGCCTTTCCTGAAAATCTCGGGACTATCAAGATAGATATTTTAGGGAACTATTATCTGTTCTGGACGATTACAATCTTAGCGATATAAATATAAGGATAGTTTGGTGCCTAATCTAACAGACAGTAAGGAGTTTAAGAATGATGGATAGGACGGTCTGACGAAAAAAGAGAAATAGCTTTGCCTCTAGTTTCATTCAAGTTTATGTCGTAAATAATGAGAGTTTTATATTAACATGTAATTCTGTCTTTACAGGGGAAAGCCGAGTGTGGTGTACATTGAAGGAATTGCAGGAGCTTGTAAGTAAATCTATTATAAGGTGATTTGAAGATATACTAAGTGATATATAAATCCGAACACCCAGTTTAAATGGTTTTATTTTAATAAAATTTTGTATAAGTACTTAATGAAGCATAATAAGTAAATGATAAAAATTTCAAAATGATTGCACTGCTTTAAAGCCCTTTGACCTTTAATAATGTGTGGATGCACCCTGATGTGCTACGCATTCTCCAACGCGCCTAGGCATGCTTCTGATCAGGTGGTCAATGTCCTCCTGTGGTATCTCATTCCAGGCAACCACCAACTCCTCTCGAAGTGCTTCTAGAGTCTGAGGAGGACGTTGCAAATTGAGCAATCTCCTACCCATCATATCCCACACGTGCTCAATTGGGGATAAGTCGGGAGATCTTGGTGGCCATGGTAACAATGTGACATCATTATGTTGAAAGAAGTCTATTGTGACTCTTGCAACATGTGGTCGGGCATTATCTTATTGGAAAGTTGGATCTGCCAGGGTGTCAAGATAGGGTAAAAGATGGGGTTCTAGAACTTTGTGGATATAACGCTGCGCGTCCATGTTACCTCTGATGATGATTAAAGGTGACCTGGAACCATAAGCTATAGCACCCCAAACCATAACTCCAACAGTGTGATGGACATGTCTTTCAACAAAAAATTGTGGATTCCTCCTTTCACCACGTCGCCTTTTAACCCAGGCACGACCATCGTGCATGCCTAAACAAAATCGAGACTCGTCACTAAAGACAATACTGTTCTATTCCTGATCCCAGAGTGATCGTTGTCTGCACCACTCAAGGCGATTACGTCGGTGTTCTCGAGTTAAAGGGAGGACCCAGTGTGGCCGCTATGAAAACAAGCCAAAACTTCTCATTCGTCGGTAAACACTTTGCATGCCAATAGGTCTTCCGTGTTCTGCAAACCATTCATTTGCAATGGACCTGGTAGTGGAGAAACGGTCCCTTAAGGCCAATAATCTTAGTGCGGCGATATTCACGGTCTGTTGTTCTACGGCGGCGTCCAGTGCCCCTTGCTCTTTGCGTACGGCCTTCTCGAAGCCATGCCTGACAACACCTAACCACAGTGTCTACACTTCTTTGCACTCTAACTGCAATTGCCCGAAAAGAAAGTCCAGCTTCCCGAAGTCCCACTATACGGCCCCTATCAAACTCACTAGTTGACGAAATCGTACTCTAGGCATCGTAACCGATCGTAAAGGATGTCAAGAACAAAAATCCGCCAACGTTGATTCTTTACTGCGGCTGAAATATTCATTTTTAGAGCGTTAGTGAATTAAAAAAAAGCAGTATAAAAACCGGAATGTCCAACTGATAAGGCCAAAAAATTGTTCACTTGTTATTTACAGTAATATAAATACATTCACCAACTTTTATTAAAATAAAACCATTTAAACTGGGTGTTCGGATTTATATCTCAGTATACTTTAGTGGAGAAATCTGTATAATTATCTTCTCGATTAGTAGTATGATGAAGCAGCATTCTCTAAGTTGTACTATGTTGCATTTTGTTAGTTGTACTATGTTAATTCAGCCTTCTTTTATTGAATTAGAATAGTAATCTTATTACAGCTTCTACTACTATTATATTTATTTGCTTGCCACACACTATGAAGCTGCAAGAACTGTCCTCCGACTGATCTATCTGGCAACACTGTGATAATCCTTGTCCTCCCTAACTAATCTGACGAGATAGTACATTGCCCTTGAGACGATTATGAGCCAGGAAAACTGTCGTGTTGACAATATAAACAGTTAGAAATAAATATTATATCCCAGGCTAGTCAATCCAATTTAATACTTACCCAATCTTTGTTAAATATTAAGCATTCTGTAATGTAATACTTTATGTATTCACATAATTGATAAGTATAATTTTGTACTACAATGATAAAAATTGAATATGCAACTTGACTGACCTGCTGCAAACCTAGGAAATGAAGCACATGTGTTTATAATGGAAATTATTTAAGGAAATGTCTAAATCTTCATCACCTTAATAACAACTGATATGTCATTTCTTAAATCTCTCTGGTATTTATGTCTATTATTACATAGTTTGATTCTATCATTTACAACCCTAGAAGCAACTGTTGATCCTGATATCAAATGAAAAAAAAAATAGCTAAGCCCGGTGATTTGAGACAGTTTATTGATTCAATATGGAGTTTAGTATCGAATAAGTTCTCGCATTTAGGAGATATTCAGTAGAAATGGACTATATTCGTTAGATCCATTACTACTGAAAGGTATTTTGATTGGTCGAATTTGATCCGTGGATCAAGTGAAAATGTAGATTGTTCTAGTTTAACCAGGATTTTTAAAAAAGATGATTTAATTTATGGATCAGGGGGCCTTCTCGAACAAAAATCTTTCAGCTTTTTGCTTGTTTAAGAGGTATTTAATAATATCGACTACACTTATTAGATCCATTACTTACAAAAATGCCTTCCGTTTAGTCAGTTGATTCATGGATCAAATTTTGATCCCTAGATAATCAGCGAAGGCGTAGCCCGTGTGCCCGAAATCAGTAAATACAATTATACCTCTCTAATCCTTCTAAAGAGCTTTTATAGAGAATTGCTACACTGGTCGCACATTATTTTATAATCCTGTCTTATTAAGGCCTCCACTGAGGATTTTACCCTACAAGAGATATTTGAAGAGCGCCCTTGGTACGCTAGGCTCGACTTTATTTGGTTACTGCCATGCCACGCGCCGACAAATAATTAAATTTTTTTCAACGTGGCGAAAAACAGTCTTTGTGCGACTTATTAGGGGTGACAACAAACAACTCCGGGGAGGAACGTGAGTTGAATAAGAAAGAGAGTCGATTGGCCTGGTTTAAATGCCACTCTGGAACCGAGGGAGGAACCCTGAACAGAGTAAGTAAATCGGCGGGATGAACTATACAGGTTGATTCAGAAATGCGTGACAATATTTATATGACTTAAAATAGATAAAAAATTAATACGAGAAGTTCATATTAACATGGGCCTCAATATGTCCTTCCCCGATATACAGGGAAATTGTAATTCCGAAATCCAAACATATGTGTCTTTGGATTGGAATTTTGTACACGTAGTACGTACAAAAATTTTCGTGCCTGAGGCTACACTTGATATTTTTGGATCTTCTTTCTACTCTACAAGTGATGCCACGTTTTTCTAAATTGCTAAGTAGGGCAAAAATATTCCAACAAGAACAGACTTCAATATTAATAATATTAGTGGATCAAGTCACCCATGCCACCATCTTACATACTCATAGATCAAGGTCTATGTGGGGGGAAAATACCATGTTTATCAAAAATAGCGCCTTATCAGCTTGAAAGTTGCTCCTGACTGTGTATTTTGAGCTCTTCAAGTATCGCTTTGTCTAATGGTGGGTCTAAGCGTTTCCTTGTCGCTGAGCCGCTAGCCCACTGCTTGATGCCGGGACGCAAAATAATCAGATAAAATAAATTTTCTTGAATGTACAGGGTCCATGATAAAGAAAAAGTTGTTTTGTCTATCATCTTTCTGCACAGAGCTGGATATGTATGAATCTATAATGTTGGATACAATGCATTAAGCCATTTTCCAGATAGAGTGTGAAACATTTTTTTTCAGCCACCATGTGTCCCTACTATCTTCGGTAACATCCAGCCTCCAGTCAAGTTCCAAGCAGAAAAGTTCGATAACAATAATATAACAAGGAGTGCAAAGATACAGTCGTACTTGTACTAAAGTGTGGAACAAACGAGCGATTTAAATCTTCCTTCTAGTAAGACCAAGACGTCCTCCGCTCTGAGGCTTTCATTATAATAGCGTTTTCAGTGTCGAGAAATCACGAAAATGACAAAAATCGACAAAATTAACCTTGAAATCCATCCGTAACGCATGCCACTGAAGGTAGTGGTTCTACAACGCAATTTGATTTAATAAGTGCAAATAGCCTTTCCAATAGATAAAAACGCTATCACAGGAACCATTTCCAATACTGCAACGCTGACCAAAGCGTTAAAACTGGCCACGAAAAGATCTGTCCTCAGCACCCTTGTACCGCATGCATCTCGGGAAACACCTTAGCTAGATACTTCAGAACATCTATCAAGCCGCCGCCTATGTATCGAGCATAAGTACCTAGAATGATGGTACGATTAACAGAGAGTAGGCAAAGGATTTAAACAAGAACGGAAGTCGGTATTTACGGAGAGCTTACTGAGATTTAAAGATAAGGACATACAGGTAGGTCTCCCGAAACTCGTCTGACGTGAGATTTGAGGCCTTCTAAAACTGTAAAAGCTACAAACAAAGCTCTGCGTTAAGGTTATGAAGTCAGACTAAAGGATCATCGCTGGATTCAGCGCTTTGTATAAATTCATATAGGTCGCGATGGCGTGACAAACCCATACGACAAAGGTGATCTAGCTCATTTCTAGAAAGCGCGATTTCAACCGAAGAAGCATTATTTTTGATAGAAACATTCCTACAATGGCGTTGGGAAGTAAGAAAACCCGTAATTATACCTGAAACGGCATTTCATCGAGTCCAACGTAGCAAATGAGTTACTTCTTTACAGAACATCCAGCTACACTACACAAGATATTAAACTTATCGCCAAACATTACTAAGAGCTAAACAGCAATTGATAGTGCAAACAACAAAGATTCGAAGGAAATCGGTATTGAACGAGGCTGTATCCTTTCTTCTTCTGCAATGTATATTATGAAAACATGTTTAGAGAAGTAAAATATTTAACAATACGACCTATAGGAAATAATCGATAGAGTTGAAGTAGTATGCAGAAATTGGGTGCTGTCGGTGAATGTGGACAGAACCAAATGTATGGTGACCAGTTAAGTGGTCCTTAGATGCTGGAGTGCTAAATATTTAGGTCCATCGAAATCAAGTATCGAACTAGAAAGAACCACGCTTCAAAAACTCGGGCCCCTTCAGTCAAATAACTTGGTGAACTTGGAAGTCCGTGAAAGGTTTGCAAGATGTTATCTATGGTCCGTGAAACTCTGAACACTACTATAATAAATAAAATAGAAGCCTTTGAAATGTGGGTATAGGGTTATTCGGAGAAACCTATTCTATCAAACATAAGAGACGTAAATCAGAACATCTTCGCCAAAATCAGGGAACCTTTGGTTAATTCTTAATTATAAAATTGAAGGAAAGACATGAACAGGTCGAAGAAGAACTACCCATTTGAGAAATTTGAGGCAACAGATTATTAACATGGCCAATGTGCCATAAGGACATGGCACGCTAAAAAGAGATTTAGTTGAGACTGCAGCTTCTTCAAACTAGCACAAGAAAATATATTTCCCTTATCTCGTACACAACCCCCGTAAATTTAACTTTTTTGCTTCATTTTCCATTCACCTTGCAGGACAAAGAGTTCTCATAAACTATTTTTGCCCCGAGTCGTGTAAAACCGCTTGTGAGAGAGGTGTTAGTATTAAGCGCGAATGTCTGAAGAGTGTGAAATATGCTCTCCAACTTGACAGATTTATATTTCTCTTGCTGCAATTTAGCGCATGGAAAAAATTGTTCTCATACACGTAAATCTTCTACTTAATATACAGCAATCCGTTGAGAAGCGTAACGTTTTGCGTAAGTGTTATATATTCTGATATATAACTGATTAAAAGTAAAAAGTGAACTGAATGGATTTGCATGGGAAAGCTCAGGAACTAGACCAGTTAATTAGTTTGATTGTTGATATGTTATGCAAGTTTTTTGCAACGCGCGAGACGGTTTCCTCTCACTGCAACTATTTGTTTTAATTGATGAGAAATACTTCTTTGAGATTCCCTGATGGTATCATGAATAATTCATGTCATTCCGTTAATACATATACTCACCAGGATATATTTATATAAGAATTCATTAATGTGGTTGAATTGACTAGATTTCCGTCTTTGTCGGATACCCGCACTCTTAAGATGACCAAAGTAGGATATGTTTTATAATGCCTCAGATTTACGGCATTAGTACCTACACCTTTTCTTTATCTTCCAGTAGGAACTTCATAGTTTTACACAGGTGCATTACTCTGGCCTAAGCACAAGATGGGTGGATAATTCTTTTTCTCATCCCTATTACAAAATCTGCACGCGGATTCGTCTACTGCCCCTATATGTATCATAAGCCGGTTCGGATAACAGTGAACTTGCAATAAGTTTGCTGTTATTTTCAAGCGTCTTCGATATCCAATTCTGGTGAACTGTGGCTAAGGGTCGTCTATAAACTTTTTTGCCTGTCTTGTACCTGGCTGGCACTTCTCTGAGTATCTATTCTTCTATGGACAACTTAACGTAGCTCTTTGACGCGCCTTTAGCACCGAGTTCATATACTCGTACCTTTACATTGCCTTTGTGCCCTTAATTTGCGAGAACTAAAGTGACTTCCTTTCCAAGGAAGTAATCATATCGATATGATTGTTACTGATGATACAAATTGAATTTCCCTTAGTAACTGGAATTTATAGTGAATATTTATGAAAGCACCACTAGTTCAAGTATTTATATGAGCGATCTACAATTTTCAATCAACTCTAGTTTGGCATCATCGAGTGCTTGACGTGATATTAAAATTTCCATTTGCAATACAAGTGCAATCGAATGGTAGTTTCCGTGACAGCTAATAAAGCAATACGAATAAATCCGCCAATTATGCGAGTCTGCACAAAATGAAGTTCAACCTGGAAATGTGTTGCTGTGTCAATTTGGCAATATCACGTAGATGAGAATTATGAGGAATCCAATATTTATATTGCCAAACATATTTGAACCTTGCATCTTCAAGTGGAGCAGCTGTAATTTTAATGCGTCACTACCCATGTGAAAAGTACGGTATTGCCTTCCAAATTAGTCACCCAATAGTTCGCCATATTCTTCTATAGGTCCTTTCACAGTCTTAGGCTGACCTAAGTTATAACTTCCACACATCCTTCCTCATGCATGTGCAGTCGGTCTCTATGTGCAGACGCTTATTTTAGTAGGTGGGTAGTAGTTGTTTGAAGCACATGTGACCAATTCACCATGGAGCGCTACATGATCCCACAACGCGTCCGTATTGTTAAAACGTCTTACTTAAATAATGAGTCGATTGTTGCAACGTTTCAGTTGGTGCGGAAATTCGAACAAACATGTGAAGTTAAAGACTTGCCAAGCTGTTCGAACTGTTCGTACTCCGGAAAATATCGAGAGAGTTCGTGAAAGTGTCGTGGAGCGCCCTGAGACGTCTACCAGACATCGTTCTCAAGAACTGGATATCCGTCGCAAAACATTATGCACTATGTTGCGGCGATACAAAATTCAGTTAATCCAAGAACTACAGCCTAGTGATAATGAGAGTCGCCGACAATACAGTAATTCAATATTGCAGCTTAATACCCAAAATAACGACTTTTACCAACGAATTCGAATACAGGTAGAAGACGTAAACAAAGAATTTGTTTTTATCAATCATCTAGAGCGACACACAAACTCGAGTGGCTACCAGTTTTCTGCGGTGTTGCCACATCTTGTTCAAAATCAACAACTGCTTTCACGCAATCGATTGATGATGCACTGAGCAGTGCAAAAATAATCGTAAAATGTTATACGTGGTGAAAACTAAATAAAGAGTATTAATTTGTCTCCAATATATTGTATTTTCGAATAGAACAACTCATGTGTATGTACAGTTATAAATTGTTTGTAACACCTGCACCAAAAAGAAAGTCTTTGGTTCAGTACCCTAATATATTTCATATTGTAATGTTTCCACTAACTGATGCAGTGTCATCATAGCTTCAAAACCTGCCAACTTCACGGAACTCTCAAAAGTTAAAACAAATAATGCTCAAAAAAAAACACAGCGATTTCCGAAAACGTCTTGAGCTATTCTTATTCTGGTTTTGTACTCAGTATTTCAAAATACATCTGAAATAAGCTCCGAAGACAATTAAAAAATATGAATTGTTATATCCCGTTGATATTTCGTAAAAAACTAATATTTGCGTACTAAACGTGGCAACGCTGTGGTGGCAAATTGAGAACAGCTGGGCTGATTTCTGGTATTTTATGCTGGGGCTTTGTGCAATTGAGGGGAAGCTTTATTTTGCTCTTGTTGTCAGGTTTACGTGTGTTTCCGTGATATTTTCACAGAGTTTTGAGGATTTTGAAACATTTCAGTACAATATATAGCATTTTGAATTATTCGCGAAGATGGTGAAGTGTTACATGTTATGTAAAAAGCAGTTTAAGCGCGATAAAAGCAGATGTCTACTCGGGGAAAAGTATACAATTTTCGTTCAAGGTCAAATTGTGTAAAAACAATAATCTGTTGAGTTTTACCGACAACAGCGGTGGTCGCAGTAGTAGACTCTTCGGTCTCCTGATCAGTCGCCGTGCGCAGTGCGGGTTCGAATCCCGTCCCAGGAAACATTTTTCTCTTGGCTATGGATGTTGTGATTGTCCGTAGGTGGTAGACGGTCTCTGACTGTCGAACGCGGAGGTACCACCCGGCGGATCTCGTAGGCGGAGCCAGAATGTGTGCATGCACACGTGTTCCCTCGCCAGAATCCGTGTGGCGTTCCTCCTTTCTCCTGTATCCCCCATAGCCCCACGGTACTTAGGGCTGAGGACTTCGTGACAGTTGGAGTATACAAAAAAAACTGATAATGAGCGATGGAGCCCACTTCGATATCAAAATATCTTTTAATAAGCAGAATTGTGGGCATAAAGGTACGATTCCACCAAAATAGAGAAAAGCAGTGCATAACTTTTGTAAGCGTACAGTGTAGCACACTTGTGCACGAACATGTTTACCAAGCAAAGTTCTCACTAACTTCAGTTCTTAATATGGACGGGCAGGAATACGTAATCTTTTGTGCTTCAGCTTGTGTCTTAATAGGTAGTCTGCTTAAAAAGAAACGAAGAAGAAAACCACGATGTTGGGTGAGGCCTTTTCTACAGCGACGGAATGAAGAAACGAATAGAGTTGTAGAAGAAATAAAAGTAGATCCCTTAAGTGGTTTTAAAAATTTTACTCGTATATCGTGTGAAGATTTTGAGTTGCTGGTCAATGCACTTAGTCCTCATATTGCAAAGCAAGACACCAACTACAGAAAATGTGTCCCTGTTTCAACAAGGCTTGCAATTACCCTAAGATATATTGCTACTGGAGATTCTTTTGCAAGCTTAATGTATTTATTTAAAGCTTCAAAGGAACTTATTGCTCGGATCGTACCTGAGACTTGTAAGGGGTTGATACTGGTGTTGAAAGAAGACATTAAGGTAAGAAAACTAAGCCATATTTATTAATTTTTATTGCATTACATATCTTGCCAAGTTAATATTTCGCTGTTATGCTGCCGTAAAAGGTCGTCGTCAAAAGCACTATTGCGGGCTTGAAAACTTGACCATGCGAATTTGACGAATCTGAATAAGGTGAAGGCATTGGGGTTGTAGCATATTTACCAGCATCAATAATAGCGTGATACAACAAATTATTAATGTCCCTTTGCACTAAAATCTTCTTTCGCTGATCTTTAATTTTTCTTAATTTCGTTGGGACGGCTGCAGCAAAAATGTCATCATCGTCATGTTTTCTTACTTCCATCTGCTTATTTACGTTGTCCATAATGGACAAAGCATGGGAAATTCTCGGGTCTGCATCGACAGCATGACGTTTCAACGAGTTCTTCGGAGCCTTAAACTTTTCTACTGGCCTTTCATGAGATGATTCTTGACTTTCATTTACTGTAGTATGTTCTTCTTGTATTAGCTGAAATAATGATAAGATTTTTTTTTCAGATGCCCAAAACTGCAGAAGAATCGCTGCTGATTGGACGTCAATTCGACAAACTTTGGAATTTCAAGCTCCAAATAATACTGGAAGTGACTTTTTCAATTACAAAGGCGATTTCAGCATTGTACTTCTAGCATTGGTTGATGCAAATTATAAATTTACGTACGTAGATGTCGGTTGTAAAGGAAGAATGTCGGATGGTGTTGTTTTCAAAAATACTGCAAATCTTCAGCAAGGACAATTAATTTTACCTCAACCTACTGCGCTACTTGGGAGGAACACACAAATTCCATATGTCATTGTTGCAGACGATGCTTTTGCATTAGATACGAATTTAATGAAACCATATCCCGGTCAACATGACAAAAGTTCGAAAGAAAGAATATTCAATTATCGGTTGAGCAGAGCGAGATGTATTGTGGAAAATGTATTTGGGATTTTGTCCGCTGTATTTTGCGTACTCGGAAAACCCATACTTTTAGCTCCAGAAAAGACACAATTAATAACACTGACATGTTGTTATTTGCATAATTTTTTGATGAAATAAAAGTCATCTTAACAACTTTACACTTCTCCTGGCATTTTCGATACTGAAAACAGAATTACCCATAGCGCTATCGATGGAAGTTGGCGGGGCGATGCACCCATAGCAAACTTACTGCTTTTAGGAAATATCGGAAGAAGACCATCTGGCGATGCGGAAGGTATAAGAGAAGAACTAGCAAATTATTTTCAAACTGAAATCGGAATGGTGCCATGGCAAGAAACACTAGCGTAAAAATAATACCTAAGTATACCTAAGTATAATGAGAGTTATAAAACATTAAAAAAATTAAACGTACCTGTTCATTTATTTCGTCTTGTGAGTTCATGCTGGTGTTCGGTTCATCCCTTCCATGGAATAAATTCAGGTATGCATAAGCAAACCATCTTGGCTTATATAAATCTGAAAACCCAGAACCTGAAGATTTTGAATCCGCTATTTTCTTCTTTTCTCTTCGGTACTGAGCCAAAATAGTCTTCCATTTTCTCATTACCTCAGTCGCGTCACAACTGAAACTTTGAGCCGACTCTTGAGTGGCGTCGTGTTTTTTGTTTCTGTTTTTATAATCATTGTGACTGGAATCCCATAGAAGAAGTTTCAATTGCTTGAATAAATTTTATAATCCTATCATTCGTCCAGTTCATTTTCCATTTCGTAAAAGAAGTGCGCGTACAAATAAATGTTTTCACTCCAGGAGCGGGAGCAATACTGAGTTCGCGAACAACAAGTATGTATCCGCCGACGCAAGTCCACTGCTTGCATGTGCGCGCGCACAAAAGTAACTGATGTGCGCGAACGTTTCCGAAATGTTTGCGCACAATTTGCTATTGTTTGCGTGAGTGAGTCGACCAGAAGAACATTTGTGCTGTACACTGTGCATTAGAGTGCCGCACAGTTCAGCACACTGGTGGAATCGCATCTTTAGAGAACCCTCGTGTCATCCATCAACGACCACTACATCCTCGTGGAGTCACAGTTTGGTGCGGTGTTTGGTATGGAGGTGTTGTTGGACCTTACTTCTTTGAAGACGCTCCAGGTAATTCTATGTCACTGGCGAACGCTACCGCGCAAAACATGTGGTTCCAACAGGATGGAGCAACTTGTCTCACAGCTAGCGAAACAATCAATCTTTTCCGAAAAATACTTCCGGGGCGTTTAATTTCTCGATTTGGCGATGCCACCTAGTCACCAAGGTCACCGGATTTAACGGCTCCTGACTTTTTTTATGGGAATTTTTGAAAAACAACAAACCAAATATTGTAGAGCAGCTAAAAAACAAAATTGCGGAAGCGATTGAAAATATTCCTCCCGAAACCTACCAAAAAGCGATGGAAAATGGAATCAAGTGGAATCAGGTTTGCGCGGCTTCTAGAGGCGGAGATTTGTCTCATATTATTTTTCATATGGTCTAAATTGCTTGGTACCAAAACGTTATTGTTTGACATTCACACAATTTATTATACAATAAGTAGTACACCATTCTGTGTATTTAGTTAGTTTTTTGATTAAATACAAATTTAATGATAAGTGTCAGTACCAAAAATCGAAACGAACTAAACATATTTTGGCGAGCTGGGCAGCCTGGAGTGTGTTCATATTAGAAATGTCATTACTTAAACAACTGAACGTCGGACAGAGAATTACATTTTCTCGGTGACAATAATAAATAATTAGGGGTATAGGTTCAGAATGCTAAAAAAAACTGAAGTATCGCTAGGCTCTATTTGGAAAAGAGGATTTTTTGTAATTTTGACCAATATTATGCCTTTAAATGCATTGCAAATGAAGAACTTAACACAGCGTATTTGTTATCCAAACGTTGAATCCATATCAACCGCCTCATCAGCGCGTCGTCAACGCAGCAGATTTAGCGTCCATGTCAGAAGGCAATGTCACTATCCGCTGATACATTGGTTACTGTATGCCGATTTAAGAATGGCATGTTATTATCTCTATTACAAATATATATAACCCATGATACAATCACTGATGATAAAACTACTACGTTAGTTAATGGTATAACCCAGTAGGAACCCATTAATTATATGTTGAATGTCCGGATGATTTGTTGCGAGCTTGAACTTCCGGTGACAGCGGCGTTTATCCGGTATGTAATTAGACATCGCTGGTTCGCGAGATCTTTTCATTTACAGCAGTATCGTCCTAGCTACCGTAATTACAACCAGAGAGAAGGTAGCTCTTTAATAAATCATGTCCCGGAATGTACACATAAAGCACACAGCAGCGACTCGGTTGAGTTTCATTTAAGAAAGCCGCTTTCTGGACATGGTCAGACAGGGTTGGAATTTGATTTCAATGAAGAATATGCGCTAGGGTATACTTACTTACTTTGCATTGCATTGAATTCTTTCAGAAGGCATTTCGTTCTATCGTTTCTCTCTAATTGGTACTTAATTCCAATTAATTTATGTCAGGCTTCACATAATAACGAAAATGTCTTATGTTTAATCATTTCCATTAAGAGGTCGAGATGAGAATTTTTAAACTAGCGAAGAACAGTCAAATTGCCACCATCTGCTGATAGATTCTTCTGTATGGAGGTGAATTTAGTTGAGAAGCAGATGGTTGACGGGTTCATTTGGCAGACCCAGACCTTGGCGGTATTATAGAAGAGAAAAGTCTGTTAGCATATTCAGGGTTAAAAAATACCCGAAGCAGGAACTGCCTGTCGATCTATTAAAGAAGTTTTATCAATCAGTGGGATTCGTTCATTGGCTTTGTACTTTTTTATACAAACTGTACCACTGTGAAAGGCGCCAAGTATCGTTAGTGTAGGAAGAGGAGGGGGAGGCGGCTGCATAGGTCACAAATTAGAATATTGACCAGCTGAAACACTTTGTTGGATGACAATTTTGGAACACTAAGTTACATCTATCAGTTTTTTGTAAAAAGGAATTCTTGTTCTATTGTCAAATCAACAGTCCGTTGTTCTCCACCTATACGGTAACAGTCCGTCAAATACAGCGAGTGAGCTTCAAGTTCCAATCAACAAATTTTAGCAACCATAAGCTATGAAATGTTGAAAACCAAATACTGTCAAAGTATGAGATCACAGCTTGACATTGAAACATCACCAGCTTATTGAATCTTAAGAAATTACATATAATTTGGTAGAAATTTAAGTGCTGGATTATTGAATCAAATTCATGTTTTTATTTAATATTGTCAATTATTTATTCATGTTTATATTATTTTCTTCAATTGATATGCGATTTTACTGATTCCACATCACCTCCCGCGTATTATTTTCCTATAAACCTCTTGCAGATAACCATTAAGCACCTACTTGATGACAGGCTGCACCAAAAATTTCATAGATATTGCTCGTTTCCAATTATTCACTCATTTACATCAGAACCATTATATCAACTTAGATTGATATTCCCACAAAACCATTAAGGTTTTTTGATATCCATACATCCATAATGTCAAATATTTTCTGCTTGTTCAGGAACTGAACAAACATCCACACTATTTTTACAGCGATTAAGAAATACTCAAATATATGTCGTAAAGCTACCAAAAAATCTACATCTACACATTCTAGGTTATATATTTAGACATTATTTGAATAACAGCTGATTATCATACTTCAAAACTCGCCAACGAGGGACACAGTGGAGTAAGCTCCATTGATATGCGATTTTACTGATTCAACATCACCTACTGTGTTCTTTTCCTATAAACCTCTTGCGGATAGCCATTAAACACCTATCTCACGACTGACTCTACCACAAATTTCATAGATATTGCTCGTTTCCAAACATTCATTCATTTACTTGCCACAAAACCATTCAGGATATTTGATATCCATACTTCCATAGTCAAATACTTTTTGGTTGTTCAGGAACTGAAGAAACATCCACACTGTATTTACAGGGATTAAGAGATACTCAAATATATGTCGTAAAGCTACCCGCAAACTTAAAACCTGCAAAAACAATAGAATTCGCAATAACTTTCTTGTTTCACTGAGTACACATTCTAGGTATTTATATTAGACATTATTTGAATAACAGCAGATGATTATCACATTTCAAAACTCCCAAAGAGTGACACATGTGTGGGATCCGTCAACCCTTGGTCCCAGTGGAGTAAGCTCCGCCAACTGTTGAAATATACTCTACTATGCTTTATAAGACTATATGTGGAATTTTCCCCAAAATCGTCGCACAAGACTTGGAAAAATGCAAATGAAAATTTAAAATTATTTCCATGATACCGCAAAATAGCTCCGTCGGTACCTCTGGTTATACATCTTGGCAGTAGGGATGTTCGGTATGATCCTATACTTAGAAGTATCGATACTTTTCACGAAAAAGAGTTGAAACCAAAAATAAAGCTAAAAGTTAATTTTATGTAGTCTTCATAGTTTTATGCCCCATATCAATCATACATGTGCATACACACTCAGGCAGTCGGGCACATGGGAGGCGTAGATTTGGGTTGCCTATGATTACGAACGCACATCCTCATCCCTTACTCCGCTTGCCCTAAATTGATTTGTGCATAAAAAAGGTACAGACTGGTAGATTACCGTCATTACCTTATCACCGGACAAGCAATAAAGAAACCGAAACCTGTCTGTTTTCAAAATACATATTTAATTAAAGTTCATGAGTTCAGGGGTAAAACAGAAAAATATTCACAATCCTATAAGCAAGAATCGTAAAAAGAGTTTCCAGAATGGGTTGCAAAGTACTTTGAAAGAGCGACCACTATCTACATGGTAGAAGTTGTAATATAGAACTATGCCCTCAAAAAACATGTTGTGTGCGCGCCCAATACAATAACAGACGTTTTTCATGACTCAAAGGTCCGTGATCTACCATCGATATTGGGACGGCATTTACCTTATACCGAGTTCAACGACACTATTTACCGATTCCGTTTTTTTGCCGGTTCGGCAACACTGCAGATGTGCAGATCACTTTAAAAGCAATTGATATCCCAGACGTGTAATAATAATAGAAATAATAAGAAAATATAACAATGTTTGGAGATATATTTTTATAAATAGGTATTTTTGATTCTGACTTATAACATCTGGACGATGAATAATAGGTGGATGCGGATACTTTTACAAATATCGATGTTTTAGGACCCAGAAATGCAGAATGTGCTGTCTGTTTACATTTGGTGTGGATTTCTAGATTATAAATTGACAAAAATTGTTTTTGATGTAACAAGAGATGCAAAATTACAAAAATCCGTACATTTCTACAGGCACGTATTATGTACAACACCCTGTACGTGATATACAGACAAAACTAGATTGCAATGCATGAACAGTCATCAAAAACAGTAAAAACATCCTACCAAATATAATATCTAGAAAATTATTTCTCGCGTTTTCATTGGTCTATTTAAATAGCTGACCATCTTTTCTGAAATGAAAATAATGTGAAATTCTGTGAAAGTTATCCTAATTCTAAAGCACAAAGACATAATATTACATCTAGGTATAATGTACCCTTATTTATAAGGCAATCGTTTTTTCACGACTTTATTCAACATTTCAATAGAAATCAGTGATATTCAGAGCGCTTTGACAGCTTCCGTCAAATTGCATTTTGATAAGGTCTTTTCCTATTGGTCCAACTGACCGTCAAATATTGATGTTGGTGAAATTGGCCCTAAGAGATTCATAGACGTGAGCCTGTATTCCAGGTCCAATTTTATTTGGGTTTCTCACAAAGTGAAGCATGCCACAGCACTAGAGCAATGATATTAGCTTCTTTAGATGGCTGAATAAGCTTAATCCATAATTTTGAGGCGTTAGGTAGGTGATCCTCATCTGATACTATCGAAAATGATACTTCCTGTTTATTTTTATCCCAGATTTCCTTGAAACACCACATTTCCAGTAATCGCTTGGATCTGCCTGTCGGTCCTCTGAGCAAGCTTGTCTTTGATGTTAATGAGGACCGCAAGGTTAGTTAATAGCTAACTCCGAATCCGATGGTTTAGATAACCGTAGGCATAGAATCCGTAATATCGCAATGGACTTTGGTATTGAGGAGTTGAGATGAACTATCACTTCGTAACTAGAGTTTTCCGAATACCTCAGCTATAGGAATTTATTATCAGACTGAACGAGTACCTGCCGAATAGAGACACAACATTCGGTAATAGTTCCGGTCACTTGATTATTCAAGTTGGGCTTTGGCTGTAAGCTTCCATAATTTTCCTACAGAAAGGTTCACACTCCGGTACTGTAAAACAGTGCGGAAACAAAATTCGAAGTCACTCCGTGTTTACAAGTCAGTCTTTTCCCGCTTTGAATCCGCTCAACTGAGGTCCTTTATCTCGCGTACTTATTTATTTTAAATCGTTTTCTTCTAAGAACTTTCCATCCTGTGCATGCAGAGGATTGCAGAGCTTTGGCCGGATATAGTAATTAACCAGATACTCTTTCTCAGACTACAACATAATTCGTGATAAAAGATTAGATTAGAAAGGACTGATTCAGTTCGTATTTGGAATGTAAGGGAAAATGCAATTATATTTGATACGATAGATTTAGTTCATATTTTGAATGCAAGGGAAAGTGTAATGATACTTGTATCTATATGTGGTCTAGGTATCTTTCTTGGTGAAATATGATTTTGTTTCTACTGAGTTGGATAAAATCTCATTAACATCTGAATATCTTATTATTTGACTTGGCTTCTCTAAGGCAGGCTCTGTGGGGACAGGGTGCTTACTGTGGGGATCAATTATTTAAGTGAGGGGAGACTCCAGACAATTTGAGATTTCGGGGACTATTCTAGGAGATCAACTACTAAACCGAGGCTAAGAGTGTAACACTCTCGTTTCGGCACAGTTGTTACTTCAGTTCTTCTTCCAGTGATATCTTAACCGTAACAGTTTTATTTCTGTAAATTCTTCAACCGTTTGCGATGCAAGGTAGCAATTCTGCTGCTTTTGTCGGAGAAATATAGGTCCCCGCTATTAATTTTTTTATCAAGAGGGACTTGGTTAAGTTCGGGATGCCCATTTGTTCTGAACTTCACCTCGGTTCTAACTAAAATGAAATATTGAAGGAGGGTGCAAGCTTTTTAGTCCCACTAACGCAATTAGCGGCCAGGGAAACTAATGGCCAGAGCCAGGCAGCAGCTTTCGATGGAAAATATCTCGTTTGAAATTGATGGGTGTGTGCAACCTCGGTTAATGAACGTATATACAGGGCAAAGAAAAATGTTCTATCTAAAGACAGGTATCAGACGTCTGGGTCTATGTTGCTCCTACTACGCTCACATGGTCTAGAGCAGTGGTTCCCAAACTTTTTAAGTCGCGGAGCACTTTTGGACAGGAAAATTTAACGCGGAGCACTAGAGTAGGCTGTTTGATGGTTTCAACTGCCTGCAACTGGATATAGGTCTTTGTTTAATTTTAGAAACGTACATTGAAGAAACAAATATTTATTAAACAAAAAGAACAACTAACTCTAGCACAGAAAAAAATGTAATATTTATTAAATATACCTAATATAAGCCAAAAGCAAATTTTAAAGTAATGTGTGAAAATAACATAAAACAAAAACTTATTTCGATACAAAAATGATACATAAAACATACATCCAAAAACAAAACTACAACTACTTAATAAAACCACCAACTTTTCTAATGAGAAGGATGTGCTTGTTTTAATTTGCTTAATGCTGTGATGTTAGGTTCAATTTCAGACAACTGTAAACGAATATCAGGTTTTTAGTATTGGTCATAAGATAAGCAGAAAATCCAGCTTCACATAAATAAGTAGTAGCAAAAGGGAGCAGAATAGTTTTTGCTTTATCTGACAGAAGATGAAATTCATGTCTAAGTTTACACCAAAATTCTATTATTGATGACTTTGTTAGAAATATATCTCGTATTCCAGAATCAGATGTCAAGTCGATCAAACATTCATATTCTTCAGATGTTAAACTCGCTGGCTTTTCAGGTATTGCGTTATATGGGTTTGCAACCCAAGAATTGTAATTCATTTTGTCATGAAATTCTTCTGGAAAATATTCCTGGTAATTATTGCGTAAAGTTATAAGATGAATATAGAACTCGTTCATAAGATCATTTGGTAGATCAAAATCAAATTCTTCTTTAAGTTCTTTTAACGACGGAAAGCTGTCCAAATTTTGTTTATTCAGGGACTCTGCCCAAAAGACCAATTTTCTTTTAAACGCTTTTATTCTGTCGTTAACATCAAAAACAGAAATTGACTTTCCTTGAAGTGACGTGCTTAAATCATTAGCTTTAGAAAAAATATCAGCCAGATATGCCAACTTTGATATCCATTGCTCTTCATTAAATCTCCCTTTTAATGCGAAGTCACTTTCCATCAAAAAACTCCTTACTTCGGCTCTTAATTCAAATAGCCGAGTTAAAGTTTTGCCCCGTGAGAGCCATCTTACCTCCGTATGAAGCAGTAAAGTCGTATGTAGACTACCCATATCATCACACAATATTTTAAACAACCTGGAATTTAGGGGGCGAGATTTGATATAATTAATTATTCTTACACATTCATCCAAAACTTCTTTTAAGGAAGGTGACATTTTTTTGACGGCTAATGCATGACGATGAAGAACACAGTGACTATTATTGCAGTTACTATTTTTTTCTTTAATTCTAGCTACAACACCACTTGTTTTTCCAGTCATAGCCTTTGCGCCATCGGTGCATACATCAATGCACTTCTTCCAAGGTATATCATGTGCAACAAAAAATTCGTCAAGCAATTTGAAAATCTCAGCCCCAGTAGTACTAGTTGGTAGTGGCTTGCAAAAAAGTAAATCTTCTTGAAAAGAGTTGCCAAATTGGAAGCGAACAAAAACTATCAATACAGCCAATCCAGCCACATCTGTCGATTCATCAAGCTGTAGCGAAAAGGAACTACCTTTTATTCGAGAAATTAAAGTGTTTTTTACCTCATCAGCCATTTCTACAATGTGCCTAGAAATAGTGTTATTTGATAGTGGAACTGTAGTAACTAGTTTCACATCCTTTTCGTCCATCATAGTTTCAACTATATCTTTGACGAAAGGCTTGATTAAAGTTTCAGCAATAACATGAGGCTTGCCTGCTTTAGCGATTCGGTAACTAACTAAGTAGGATGCTTTTAACGACCTTTCGTTCAGTGTCTGTGCATGAAAAGTTATACTTTTTTGTGTATTTTTTAATTCACTGGATTTTCTTTGAAAAAAATCATTCGGTTTGTCTTTACATTCAGGATGAACTCCTTCCAAATGTCGTCGCATTTTCGCTGGAAACATAGCACTGTTGGGTAACACTTTACCGCATATTACACATTGTGGTTTATTGTCGTTGGTTTCAATGAATCCTATCCAGATAAGAATCATGGTATTTTCGTTTTGCAGTTTTTCTCTCACAAATACTCATCTTTGATGGACCAGATGTTTGACAATCAATTATTTCAGCTGATGTTAGTACACTCGCAACAGACTCGGATTTTCTCAATATCTGCAATTCTGTGTCTTCAGTGTGAGCTATTTCCCTATTTTCTTTTTCCATATTGCTAAAAACAATACTCGATTCAGGCAAATACTTTTAAAAATAAGATTTTAAAAATCTGGCACCTACCCGTTCCCTAAAAACTCACACACAAGCACAAAAAACTGCTTTTGTAGTAGGGGAAATATGCCACTTATACAGTAATTTTTATTTCACGTCAAACGTAAGTATCCCATTTTACCCGTATTTCCCCTACCTTAAAATGTACAAATCCGTACCTGTTGGAGTTAGATCCCTGCATTTCTGCATCTGTAGCTGAAATCGCTGTTTTCTTCAAAACACCTGTTTTAAGCCAAAGATCCATTATAAAACAAGTAAATTTAACCTGGAAATAGATATTTCACCATAAAAAAAGATACATGTATGTTAGTTAACCTACTTACGAATGATAACTTATCCCAACTTCAATTCAATTAGTGAAATTCAAAGGCACAATCGCAAAAAATAAATAAAAACGATGCACCCGACACACATTTAGCGAACGTAAATCGTATGTTCCGGAAAGAACAAGTCATATCCTAGCATTAATACGAAAAAATACGATTGTTTCCGAACTGAAATACGATATTTCTCAGATGAAATCCGCGGAGCACTTGAAAACGTACCACGGAGCACCTTGTGCTCCGCGGTGCCTGTTTGGGAACCGCTGGTCTAGAGAAAGGCTCTCCGCCTTGTTGGTGGCACTCCCTTAATGGTCTCGAGCATCTCTCGCATCGACGAAAGGTCGACGATCCAAATGACATCTACAGATATTGGGGCTACGGTTGGTTAGAGCGTCGAGCTAGCAAACGGTCGATCCGAGGCTCGCGGGTTCGAAATTCCGTCTCGAAAGTTAATTCCGAGATATAGATATTGGGTTGTGTGTTGTATATATTATGCACCAGATTTATGCTAGCACAGCAATCAATTGCCAACAGATGACTTGTGAGGTAAAACACTGTTGGTACTACGGGGTTGGCAAAGAAGGTCAAAGGTGGTCTAGCTTCCAGGCTTCGCCTCCACATCACTACTACGACTACTACTACTACTGGCAAATGGACACGACAAGCGTCCTTGTTCCTTGTTCTTTATTCTATGGGAATAGAGAATGTGGAACCATCGGCTAGAAGAATCCTTTGTTTTTCTAACCCTAGACCCTATACAGTTCAATGAGAACAAAGTCTTTAATCACTTTATAGTAGGCGCGACACCGTGATATTTAACATTCGGCATCGAGGCTGCTATAAAAAAATGACGTCAAGTAGGGTGACTCTGTATTTTTCTCGCAGCTCTGTCAATTTTACTATGATCTGTTGGTTTATTTCCAGATATAACGCTAAATGAACCATATTACAAAAAAAATCGATCAAGGCAGTTCCATCAACAACAACATGAACAATATCACGTAATTAATGAAATACAACTAGTAATTATTAGGCCAAGAAAAAACAGGTTAGTTTTATAAAGAGGAAATTATTAAATCATTCCTATTATTGTAATTATGGCTCGTAATGAGCCTAATAAAGGTCAAGGACTAACGTCAACTAGATGGAATATAGAATCGACCCACTTGGCACATACCGCAGCAAGCTGAATAATATTCACATCTTTTACTTCAGTTCATATAACGCGGAGTAACCTGATATTGTAGTAGCTGTTAAAAGAAGAGTGCTACAAATAAGTCGCTTAAAAAAAATATCTACGTCCACGTATAACAAAATATACGAATGAAACCGAAACCTGAGAAGGTATGTACACTTAAGTGAACTACACAATTCTAAACTCGTACCATAAACAACAACAAAAAAAAGGCACGTTGCGATTTCGGAAAAGCGAAAAGCGAACGACATGAGGTGCGTTCAAGTGTTCACCCATTCAAATACTACCGGCACCCCACACTAGCTTAGATTTGCAGATCGAACGAGAGTCACCGTCTTCAGTGTGGTGTCATCATGATACTCACGTAAATGCTTGCTTGGTGGTGGAACTATATGTTTTATGAACTGTATGTTTCAATCCAAGAATCTAACATTCATTTTTGTTTCAAGGGAAATTTTAAGAACAATATCTGTGAACATTTTTTCATCATTTAGACACTTCTCGATAATAAAACTGATACGACGGGTGCAACATCTAGCACTCCATACCCTCTACAACCATCAACGCACAATTCTCAACCCTTTCAATTTTTTTTCGGCAAATGAATAGGAGGTTCTTTAACGACCAAGAACGAGGTTTGGGCGATTCTTGTTTTTCCCGTTTTTAGTTCCTAGTCTGACCGTCGATTGATCTATTTGCAAAGACTACAAGCTTCTTAAGTCCTTGGCATAGTACTAATCTTGTATCAGGATCTCAACAAAACTCGAGAGGTACTTTCCAAGATATAGAGACAGACGATTCGATGGAAATGATTGACATTTTTTATGAAATTTTGAAAGATATATCATATTTTCTGAAACTTTGCGATCACGACAATTCCTCTCTAGTCGCATGGGAAGCACAAAGGTACAGAGTAAAGACGTAAGCAAATATGATACAAAAATGATCATTTCCTTCGTTAGAGCATAACTACTATGCCGCTTGAGAACTGGTAGTCCACGCGAATTTTACAAGAATGACCGCCTAGTATCTCAAAACACTTAGACCAAGAGCCGATTAATCATTACAAGTGGGATGTAACGGTAACTAAATATTTTACCTAATTAGACAGTATAATATTTAAGAACCTCCAATTTAGGTTATCGTATCTTCTATCTCTATAGATCATCAACATAATTTTTTTTGGACGGTTACAGAATAAACTGGTATGACCGTTTAATGTATTAGGTACTCCAACGAAGTTTTAATTTCCAACAGAAACACAACCGAATGAATGCATGTGATGATCTAGTGTAGAAGCATTAAACTAAAAAGCCGTATTTTTACATAAAATGAGTTCCAGTTGGATCAGTTCATGAAGTCAGTTCCCCGAAGCTAAATTACAGAACCCTAGCATAATAATTACAACAGAAGCATAATCTCGTTTCCTGAGTTTATTTTGCCTTGCACAAATATTGTCACTGCTTTGAAATTGCGGACATATAGCTATATTAATAAAGGCGACCCTTAAGGGTATGAAGGGGAAGTATAAAGAGAAAAGATATAACATCAAATATTATTACACAACGTAAATATATTTGCGCTTAGTATACAAATGCGAAGTATTTCATATGTAGTGTCCACGCTTTAGTTTGATAAATATGTATATACAACTAAAGTTAAACTAATTTAACAAAAAAGTATAACTCATTTTCATCGGTCTATCAGTCCTAATCTTTGACTTCTCTATAACTATGAAAGTACTACACGTATCCTGATAATCTTTGAGCTCCGACGGAACAGCTTCAAACCTTTGAAAATATGTCCAGTGGAAGGCAGAGTTATGGGCGAATCACAACCAAGCGGCTAAGAGCCCGAACACATATCATCTTTTACAAATTATTGTATCCTCCTATGTCAACAATACAAGAAGTTGCAGAATAGACATTCTCTGTGCATCAAATTTGGTGATATAAGCATCTAGCCTTCAAATTTTAAAATGTCTCCTGTATTCTTCACAGTTGCTTGTGCTAGAACTACTGCTGAATTAATACGTGGTATTTTCAGAAAGTTTCTGGAAGGCTTGAAGATGTGAGTTGGTTTTGTGTGGAACTGGGCTAGTTTTGAATTTTTAGTATTAGGAAAAGGGGTTCTGTTATTCAGAAGTTCCTGACTGCGGCGAAAATACGATTAAATATGATATACAAGCCCAAGCCCGCGGCTCTGCTTGACTGCAAGTACTGTATAGTTCATACCTCTTGGATTAGTTCGAAGATATTAATTTCGGAGAAAAAAATACAATATTCAAAGTAATGCAATAGGTACTTCGGTAATAGATTTTTCATGCTTTTACTGCAACAATTTAAAATTTGAACGTCTCTCCAGTCTGTGAGCATCATGTCTGACCATAATACAAAGAGAAGTGAAAATTTATACAGTCACTAATTTTTCGCGAGGATGGTTATAAGCATGCTTCTATCTGCGAACTTATCGTCGAATCTGCTTATATCTACAAGGTGTCTATGGAATCCCAAATACCCCGAAAACTCGGCAACCTCTTTCTTTTTGGAAGAAGGGTTCTAAGAAAAGTTTTAGGATAACAAAAGTAAATTATTGACGACCTTAAATATAATCTCAATAAGATCTCTAAGGGAAGTGACACTGACACTATGATCAAAGTAAGTCTTATAACTTACTTTCATAAAACTTACATAAAAATTTTTGTTCAGGAAAAGGATAGCAGCCCAAACAGTGGACGCTGGTCTTAATAATACATGTCCCTAAGGTCTCACTGAACTTGAACATTCTAGACCTATAAGCTTGTTCTGATTTCAAAAATTATACACAGTAGTTCAAATGAAACAAATCTAAATCAAGATCATCTCTCTAAGAAAACAAATGTAGAAATCCTGCACATTTTTATATTTTATTGCCATTTTCAGCATATTAATAAGTAATATCACATTATTATAACTGTACCCATTACCAGTTATTTAATTTTTGCACTACTGCCTTTCACTATACACAATATTAGTTGAGTAATATATGTTTCAGAAGACCCTTTTCGGCTAGCTCTCTGGTGGTTGAATCATTCCTCTTTTCATATTTATATGTGTTTGTTTCTTCTTTTCCTTTTTTGTATTTTTTATATTTCTTTTGTTCTTTGTTTTTTTTAACAGTGCCAACATCAAAGCTATATAGCTGTTAGTGTTGTTTTCTCTTTTCTTGACGTTTATTTGATTTTACTTCAATCAACATGGATGATTAGTATCTGATTGATGAGTCTACGTTTAATTCTGAATAGTGCTGTATTCACATGTGGATGACCAATATTTTTGAAATCTTGAGACTCAGAATATTCTTGTTGAAAAATTTGTCAGTTATCTCATAAATCACTTATCCCAGTGGCACTATAGGCAAGGCTCTATCAAGTACTCGGTTACTAACCTGGAAAGCTTTCTGGCCTTCTAGTCTTAGACGTGTTGCTTTGAAGACAGAAATCGATTTGCACATATATTCTTCTGCATTGCTGCTAATAGCTACTGGATACTATGAACGTATGATTTTCAAAGTTGTGATTTCGAATTCCGGCTTACTGGTGAATGCATATAGATATATGGGTGAATGCACTATACTGCCTAGTAGCAGCAGATTTTTTCCTCAATTGGAACAAACTGTTTTCGAAGAGCAAGTTTTCTGTCAAGATGTACACGCGAGATGTTTAATATTTTAACTTTCTTCAATTACTTCTCCAATCATTTAAAGTAT